AAAAATATAAAAAAATTTTATTAAAAGAGTTCTATATACAATATTTTATTTTGATAATAAATTTAATTATGCATTCTGGGCGCACTTTAAATATTAAAATTTACAAAATATATTATGGTTAAATATTAAATTATATAATGGAAAGAATGAAAAGTTTAATATAAAAATGCAAAATATTCGATTTTTTTAACTACATAGTCACAAAATAATAAGGAGGCTGAGGTGGATTTATAAAAATAATGTTTTTCAAAATGTGTAAAAAAGTAACTTCATGTTTTTTAAGTCAATATGTATGAGTTTTCTTAAACTTTAAACAAATTATATTATAAAATATTTAATTGAAATGATTGCATTCATGAATTATTACAAATTATGGTTAAAAAAAGAAAATTATTTTTTATGCAAGAAAAGCAATATCAAGAGCGTTTATCTAAATAAATTGCCAATTTTTGAATAACCACGTTAAATTTTTTCTTAAAAACTTAAAAATTTTATTATTACCATTTAAGTTTTGCAATAATTGTTTTACATAATAAAATTTTAATCAAATAATTGTTCTAATAAGCTTTAAAAATTTTTTTAAGCAAAAAACCTATTGTTAGTTTTTTTAAATGAAAATTCATAATTAAGTTTCTTTCACAGGCACGTATTATTAAAATTTTGTATATTTGCTTTATTATGGGTGTTTTAGTAGATGTTCATTCGATATATAAGCATGCGCCATGCTTGTACAGCGAATTCTTTTAAAAATTAAATTTAATAATTTCTATTGAAATTTAATTTAATGTTAATCTGGTATATTCAATAAAAAGTGAATGTAACCATTTGAAATTTACATTCTTCAAAATGAATGTAACTATTTAATCACGATTTGGGATCATGTCTTCAAACTTTAATTGATCTGCTGGAATATGATTCACGAATTCTATATTGCATAAATTTAAATTTTTTTTTAAATCAATACATATTTTTAGTTATCCTTTTATTGTGTCCAAAAGTGTGGCCAATTTAACTTATTTACCTACGAATGTAATTTACTACAGAATATAGTAAATTAAATTTCGAAATAAGAACTTCTTGAAAATATAGATGACATTTCTAAAAAATACCAAATCTTTGCATTTCGTATAATAATATTATTGTAGTTAATGTATGTATAATTAATAAGTCATATAATAAACCAGTTATGGTGATGGTATGCAAAGATTTGGTGTACGAAATAAATACGAGAAAATATTTTCTAGTTGTGTAAAATCAAATGAATTCCACACTAGTCCCTCTTTTTCAAACAATGTATTTTTTTACTAACAGTTATTTGATAATAATGTTACATAATAATGATGGTAATAATAAATTTTCAAGCATTTTAAAATATTTGTGATGCATATTTTATATACTTTTGTTATAAAAAATAAAATACGTTTAGCAATATAATAACTACTAATATTATGTATATAATTTCAAAAAATATTATGAAATTCTTAAATTAAAAGATAAAATTGTAAAATGAATTTCTTTTTCAGTAAAATAGCAGCATCCTTATTTTGTAGGTTCATGGAAATGAGTGTTGCATTTTATCTGAATAATTTTTATTTTTATTATTATACATATTTTTTGGCTTTTTTCCAATTTGTATTTATAATTATGTACTTAAGTATAATATTTTTCAAGAATAATATTTAAAATGAATATGAAAACTCTATACCTACATAATTACATAATTCTATAATATTATATTTTTGACATTATGTACAAAAATAAATGGTAAATATTTTTCTATGAAATTTACACCAATTTTGTGTGGTTCGTATATGGTAAAACAATTTTGTACTTTTTTTTAATATTTTTGCAGTAATTAATTATTAAGAAAATAATTATGTAGATTTGATAATTATTACAATCTAATGATTATTTGTGTGAAATTGCAAATCTTTCTAGTAATGGAAAACATTTGATTAAAATTTTGTTTATTTAAATACGATGAAATTAAAATTATTATTTTAATAATTTTTAGTTGTCTTATTTTATGAAATAGACGATTTTAGTTTCCGTTAAACTTACAGATGAGATAGATAATAAAATTCGAAACCATCAAAAAGTAATTAAACTATGTATTACAAAAATGTAAACCTACTCCTTCTAAAAATTATTTCAGAAAAGTTGCTAATGAGATTCGTTTCATTTTTTTCAAACAGATTTGCTTTCAAAATATTATGTAATATTTTACAAGTGATTTGACTTTAAAACTTTATTATTAAGTTAATTTTAATTGGAGAAGTAAATTAAAACAATAGTTATAGCAAAGCTTTTAATTATATACACATAAAATATAAGCTGAATAGCACATACTTGACTGCATTGTCAGAGTGTTCCGTTAGATTATGCAAATGTTCTTTAAGCTTTTTCTATAAATTCTATCAAAGATAGTAAGCAACGTTTAGTTAATTGTGCTTAAAAATTTGAGGTTAATTCTGTGTGCTTCAATTTCTCTGTAAAATTTTTCGGTTGGTTTTTTTTAAAATTCAAGAAATTTCGTGAATTTGCTCATTAGATGTGGTTTCGATGAGATAAATTCGGGTTATAACCCCTGACATTCCCAAGGAAATATACTGATTCATTGATTTTATAATGAAATCTGTTCAAAGAAATTAGTTGATTATTTCTTTATATATATGAGCTGGAATGTTAATTCGGTCGGTAATAAAAGTCCTTACTAATTTCATTTCATCAACATGTTATATAACTTGCTGTATTATCGAACGCTCATTTATAAAATTTCAGGATATTCGCTGATTATTTTCTTAAAAATTGTTAAAAACCTAAAATGGGTCAAGTAAACATGTAATAAAGGTGCGTTGAAACTTACAAGGTATAATATTTCATAATTTATTCTTCCACCAATTGAACTTTCAAAGTCAAAAGTACAGTTACTTCACATTTGTTTTCTCTTGATCCTAACATAGTTTTCAAATGAAAAAATTGTACAGAGAAAACTACACATTTTTTATAAACTGTTTTATTCTTTCCTTTGGCGATATTATAATGGTCATTAGCTGTTATCTTGGAAGTATTCAATATATTTGGTATACATAGTATTGTATATGAAATTATATAAGGTACTGTACATTCAACGGCTTTGTGATTTTATTTCTAATTTCTAATGTCAAGGTGTTTTCTTTGAAATAAAAAAAAATTTAATTTTAATTTCTCTATAAAATTTTCAAAATTGAACACAACTTATAAACTTTTTCCATTATTAGAAAGATCTTTGATGTTATACTTATGAAATGTAATTCAGTAATTGTAAAAAATAAAAAATATGAATTTAAAGTGAATGCAAAAATAATTAAGTAAATGCAATGTATAATAATCTGGTATTAAACTAAACTAGAAAAGAGTTTTATAAATAAAACATAATTTAAGAAACTTAAAAAATAACATGTTAGAAAGCTACAACTCAAAAAAATGTTCATTCTATTACTTTTAATTTTTTAATTTTATTATTTTCAAATAAAAAATGTAATACACATAATTAAAATGCATTATTAATAGTTAGCTAAGATTCAAGATCAAACATTTTATTGTTTTAATTATAAAATAATAAATTACTTTATGAATAATGATTGTGATAATAGAAAATTTTAATTAAATTTAACTGCGTAGGATTTGTAATATTAGTTTGAATTGTTTTTTATTGCACTTTCTTAAATTAAATTATTTGAGTCAAAAAACAGTTTCTTTTAGTTTAAAAATTTAGTAACAAAAATTTAGTTTTTGAAACAAAAATTTTGTTAATTTTATAAAATTTTATTGAATTCAAGTTCTTAATCACAAAATGTTTATGAACTTACAAAACAAATTGTTTACAATTCAGAGCAAGTGATTTTTATTTTAATTAAACTCTTTATAAGCTTTTGTGGAAAATGATGCGCAAATTACGTTTAGTAAAACAAAATTTTCAGATTTTTTTTCATATCTGTTTAGAAGGTAGTGCTTTTAAAAATATAGCTCTGACTCATTACAAATTTGATTAGTTTGTTAATAAAATACATAAAAAATGGTTTTTGAGAAACAAGCGTTATTTTTCCATTATGTCATTTAAGCAACAATTTACTGACGCCATTTTTTAAATCGAAATGGCAGCTTTTTTCTTTTGCTTTTTTTTTCTTTTTGTTATCGTAAGATGTTTTTTTTTTCAATTCTGTGTAACAGAAATTAAACAAGAGATTAAGTGTGAACGAAAGATATTGGTTAATGTTGTAAAACAAAGGTGGCGTAAGCGCAAATTTTCTAAATGGAGAAAAAGCTCGTTTATTTTGAGACCACAAAAATATTAGAAAATTTTTAGTAAAACATTGAAAATTTTGTTTTTTTTTCATTTCTAAAAAAAAAAAATTTAAATTTGAGTTGAATGAGTGCAAATGCAATTCAAAGTATATACTTTTTGTTTTCGAACTAATGAAAAATTTAATTTGAAAGAATAGTATAACTCATAAAAGAAATAAAATAAATAGAAATGTGAGTATTTTATAATTAAATATAAAATGTTAAAAATTTAAATTATATACTTTGCTTAATTATATTTTATTAAAGTGGAAAAAAATACAAAACATTGATTACCATTGTCATATTTAATTCGTTTTTTTTTTCTTTTTTTTTATTTGTTAAAATTATGAGTCCTTTCAATTTATTTTATTATTTGTTTGTTTGTTTATGCAAAAGAATGCATTATGAGGGTTTGTTTTTTTTTATATCTCGATTATCTTTTCTAAATCAAAATAATAATTTTTTATTAAAATTATAAATTAAATGAATAAAAAAATTGCTATTGTCTTTAATAATAAACAATATCGATAGAAAGATAGAAAAAAAAATTAAGTTGATTTTGAAAAGAAAATTGGAATAGAATTAAAAATTTAAAGATTAAAATTATAAAAAAACGTAAAAAAAATATTCATTTTTTTTCTTTAAACAAAACAAAAAACAAACTGATATCTCACCATAGGGAGTTTCCTTCTTTTTCATTTCAATCTTACTATCCATGGTTGGACCCACATTTGGTGGTGCTGGCAGTGTTGTTGTAACTGGAGCAGGCTGTGAACAATCATGACCAGTCCAGCCTATATCACAATGACATCTATTTGTATTTGTACACACCTATAAATTGAAATATTTATAAACAATTTCACTCATTTGAACTTTATGTTGTTATATTTTATTTGATTTATTCATGAAGGTTCAAATTTTAACAATTATAAAATTAATAAATTGTTCATTATAATGAATAAGGTTTGGTCAAACCAATGGTTTGTGTTGTAGCGCTTTTCTCTTGAACAATTAAAAATATTTCTTTTAAAAACAATCTGTGTATACCCACCACATCATTAAAATTATTTTCATTCATATACGAAACTATTTTAATAAGGATTGCATACATTCAGGACGAACGATTTATGCAGTCTTTGAAATAAAGCAAAAATTAATTTAAAAAGGGGTTAACATAATGCTCAATTTTAAGGGTTAATTGCGTGAGTTAAGAAAAATAATTATATTTTTTAATGGCATGGAATTTATCTTTACTTTTCTGCGTTTATAGAAATTTGAAAAAGCTTAAGGTTTCGGAAATACATATAAGGTGTCAACAATTCAAATTTCAAGGGGCGATAACTTGAGAGGGGGTGGAGATGGAAAAAAATTTTCTTCTAACGAGATGAAGCATTTATTGGTGTCTAAAAGCCTCTAAAATTTCAGGCTTCTGCAGGCTGGGGTCTAAAAGAAAAACGACATCAAAAATTTGGAAAAAACAGATTTTAGATAACGGTAAATTTAAACGTCCATTTTGTTTTTTTAAAGATTATTACTTAGGGTATAGTATGTCGCGATAGGAAAAGCCAGTGGCTTGCGTTTCTGCGTTTGCAAAATTCGAAAAATGCTTATAGTTTTACTGCAATAAATAATTAAAAAATAGCAATTTTAGGTTTTTAAGGGGGTATAATTTTTAAAGGGGGGTGACAGGGAAAAATTTTCTTATACGAAAATAAGTTTCTAGTAAAGATCTATGTACGTATAAAATTTTAGCTTTCTATCTTCAAGGGTGTAGAAGCTTTGTAAACGGACACACGGCCAGACAGAGTGAAACTAATAAGCACTTTTTTTTTTAAATTTTTTTTGGAAAAGTGCTAAAAATACGGGTCTGAGATGTGAACATTGACAATATGTTAGCGATAATAAGAGTTAAATTTAGCAAATTTTTGTAAATTTTCTTTATTTATTTTCTTTATGTTTTTCTTTATATACTTCTTTATTGTGTTGATCCAATCCAGACGGTGAATCGGATAGCTGAATAAAATTTTGAAAGTTTTCATTCTTTTTTAAAAATTTATTTAGCGTTCACTTTAGTTCATTTTAGTTATTAGCTGAACAAATAAATTTAGAAAGTTTAAAGTAAAACACAGTTAGTATTATAGAGGCAATATTATATTACAGAGGAGGAGAGAGTATGTAGTTAAAAATATAGAGGCTTTATTTGAATCACTATTAAGAACAATTCTGCCATATTTCACAAATAAATTTAAATATGCGCATCATTCTCGAAATATGATAGATGTCACGTAACTCAAAAATAATACAATTATACGTATGTACATCACCAATCTATACATATGCCAAATACTCCTCTGGAATTTTGTACAAAGAAAACTGTTTGAAAAATTATTAATTTTTATTTTCCCCAAATTGCGCTGAGAATATGTTTTGTACTAGATTTGAAATCTTTAATTAGAATGCACTCTTACAAAAATGCAAATAATATTGCCAATTTTATTTCTGAACAAATTATGTTGCGACAACTTGAAATGGAGGTGGGAAAAAAATTTATTCGGACGAAATAAAAAATTTATTGATTTTTAAAAAATTTCAAAATCTTAGATTTTTGAAAATTAGCGTCGAAGAGAAGGACTTTTCTTTTACTGTTCCACAGTGATGTCATATATTGTCAAAAAAAATAACACAACTAGAGTTTTCATCGGCCTTGACTTTTAGAGGTCTCGAGGCGGAAGGTGAAGATTTTCTTCTGAAATTGAAATTGAAATAGAGTTTTCGCAACGGTTTATTTGTATTTCGGAATAAACACGTTTAACATTTAAATTTAAATGTTAAACATTTTAAATTTTTTAACATTTTTTAGAACTAAAAATTAGATTTTTTTTTTTTCTAAGTATTGAAAGTGTCCCTTTAAAGCCATATTTAAAGTCTATAGTATATTAAAAATTACTTTATTTCATTTTTATTCATTGTCATTAAGTTATTAGTTCCAAAATTACTAAAACTCTTCTTTCTAGGTTCTGTATAAGTGAAAATCATGGAAAATCTTATTAATTTCATTTCCATCGTTTTTTTTAATTTCCTTAAGTGTATATAGAAATTAATTGAAGGTTATAAATACAGTTCTAAAAATTTAATGTTAACGATTTTTCCCCACTTCTTTTATTTTGGGAGATTATTTAATATAAATTTTGATTTTTATTTGAAAATATTAAAAAAACACTAAGTTCGTCAAAATTATTCTAAAAAATATTCATAAAAGTTATGGGACGTAAAGAATTTTATGCTATTAAAAATTTAACTTTAGAATCCTAAAATCATATAATATAACGTCTACATATATATGTATGTACATGTGCATATAGTCTAAAAGGATTTTGCCAAAAATAAATTCAAGTTTTGGCATTTTCGAATTAATTTCTAAGAATTTTTGAGAATGAGTGTATTTCAAATTTAAAATCAAGTCATATAAATTATGTTTCAATGCTACACATGTAGAGCATTTAAAAAATTTTTTTTTGCATAAGTTACATAATTTGAACATTTGGAATGAATTGTTAATCTTTTCAGCGTGCCTTAGATGTAAAGTAATTTTCTTCTTTCCAACAGAATTTTAACTGCAGGGATTTAAAAATAAAACATTGTTTAAAATGACGCATGGCTGCTGATTTTTTTATGTGTTCTCATGTATATACATGTGGGTATTATGATGTTAGTATAATAATATACTTAAAATTTTATATTCCTTTATTTTTTGGTTTTTGTTTTATTGAAGGTTGAAGTTAATTCAAGTAAATTTTCAATGTTCACTATTATTTATTGTATTTATTAAAATGAAAAAAAAAAACTAAGTGAAAATAAAAAAACACGCGCGCTCTAAATTTAAATCCAATGTTGTTGCATTAAAATTTACGTCACATTTATAGAGATTAAATACCTAGCATATTAATGGTTATTGTTAAGTTTATTTTAAATATGTGTTAGAAAGTAAATCCCATTGCAATTTTGATTCACATTATTGTAATATACGCTGAATGCATAAAGTTATAATGTATGCATTTAGTGTACTCGTAAATTTATTTCTAATATTTTAGGGTGATAAATATTGCAAATTACGTTTTCTTTTTAAATCTTAAAACTATGTCATATATATTTTTTGATAAGATATAAAAAAAAACTTTATTTCAACATATTTTTCAACAACACGATAACTTCTTTTCTTCATAGTCCGAGTTTAACTTTCAAATATATTGATTTAGTTTTTTCACTTGACTGCATAAAAATTAAAAACTTTTATAAAATTCATATTATTAGAAATGAATACTATGAGAATTTTAATGGAATAGTCCATATCAATCAATTGAAAATTGAGATAATTTTATGTTGGAAAATCGAATATAATTTATTTTAAAAATTTCAGACACATATTCCGAAAACTCTGAAATCTTCTCAAAATACTCTGTTTAAATTTTATTTTCTGAATTTCATATAATTTCATAGAATTTCATATTAAAGAAAAATTAACTTTTTTTATAAAATTCAACAAAAATCAAAACAGTATGTGTGTAAAAAATTGTGTGTTAGTTTATGAACAACCCCAAATTTTTTCAAAGTTTTTTTCAAATTTTAAAATAATAAAGAATTTACTTAAGGCAAAATATGAAAATAGTTTGGTAAAGCTATAGGATACCCGTTTTATAATTAAATTTGAAAAGTGGAAAATATTCTTAAAAGAAAGAACTATTATAATTTTTGAAATAAGTATTTCTTCATTGCCAAATCTCTGCTCTTTCCAACAAATTTTGAGGAAAACTGGAAAAAAAAAATGATCTTTTTGTTTGATTCTGTCCGTTGGCCAATCGGTCCACACGGTTGTTTATAAAATTTTTACACTAGGTATGTACCACAATTAAATTACTTTCATTCATATAGTAATATATTTCAGAGATTGCATATTTTTAGGATGATCAACGAATGCATTCATCGAAATAAAATGCATTGCTTATCCGAAATGTATGAAATTTTTGAAATAAAACAAAACAAAATTTAAAGAGGCGTTAACATAATGGTCGAATAATCACAAATTTTTTAAAATTAATTAAATTTTTTAAATTTAAATTTTTTAATATCTTTATATTTTCGGGATGCGAATGAAAATTAAATAAAATATTATTATATTAGTCGAAATTCAATTAATTAAGAATATTTTTCAATATTCTATAACTGGAAGACGTTATTGTTGTTGTTAACTTTAAGCTTTTGTATAAATTTGAAAATTTTAACAGTTTGATAATTTTGAGAGTCAAAAATTTTTGTTTCTACCGAAATGAGTCATTTACTTATTCTTAAACATCCTACAATTTCTTGTCAATGCGAAATGTTAAAAATTTGAAAAAGGATAACTGAAATAAGGTTAATTTCAGTGGCAATTATGTAATTTTAACATTTGCATATGATTGTTTCGCAGTAAATAGAATAAATCACTAAATCTTCCGGTAAAATATGAATTTCCGAAAATGGCACTTTTAGGTTTTTTAACATACTATAACATCTAAAAGGAGTTAGGTAAGAATTTTTAGCCAGAAAATAAGTTTCTTCTAGGTTTATAAAATTTCAGTTTTCTATCTAAAAGTGAAAAAGAAATTTTATAAACAGGGCCTGAGCAAAGTGAAAACAATAACTGCAGGCAATTGTTTAACATTTTGTAACTATAATCAATTAAGTTTTAACATTTTGTAACTGTAATCAATAATTACAGTTACAAAATGTTAAAACAGACGAAGTTTAAATTATAAAATCAATTGAGTTTAAGCAAATTTCTACGTATCGTTCCT